CTGGGATTTCTGGGATGCAGCAAACCCAGTGGTTTGTTGGGAGACAGAACTGGACTTGCTGGGATGCAGCCCCAGGATTGCTAAGACATAGCACTGGGTTTGCTGGGCCATGGTGCTCACATTGCTGGAGTACCATGCTGGGCTTGCTGGGATGCAGCCCCGGGTTTGCTGGGACACAGCTGGAGCCCAGCTGTGCCCTGGCAGCAGTGCCAGGGGGCGTTCACCCTGGCCAGGCAATGGGCACAGTGGGTGGATCCGGCCCCCCCATCCCATCCCATCCCATCCCATCCCATCCCATCCCATCCCCTCCCATTGAGCTGCCCCCAGGGTATTTTGCCCTCCCAGCACCCAGAGACCTCTCACTCCCCATTCCCTCTTTAGCAGACCCCAGAGCTCACCATGCTCTTAGGAGTCTTTGGATGAAGGCTGGAGCTGGCGGCAGCATGCCAGCCCTCTGCCAGGAAGATGCCAGGAAGAACTGGGAAAATGGCTGGTGCTTATGTGCTAAAATGCCCTTTTCATTTGAAAAAAACAGACGAAAAGGGGAAAAAACATATTCCATTTTTCTCCAGCTGAAAATGAAAGTGATTATGTAACGAGCAATAAATTACAGAAAGGAATGAGTCATTGGAGCAAATCCCAAGAAAGGCACAGTATTTTTAGCTCCAACACCCTGTGCTGTACTGTGCATTAACCCTTGCAGGACTTGGGCCCCCACTGCAACCTAGCCCTAGGGTGACCCCCCCAGAGGCATCATATTGGCTTCTGTGAGGATTTTGTCTCTGTGACATTCCCAAGGGAAGATGGAAACGATGTAAGCTGTGTGCCCCTCCTTCTCCTTTGTATGGGATGCTTATGGGTGGTCCAGGGAATACTGCTCACCCCAGATCCACATCCCCATCCTGGGCTAAGCCCTGCTTCTCTTTCCCTCTGCTCATTCCCACTGGGATAATTAATCCTGATCCCTTCCTGAGACCCTGGGCACCACTGTTGTTTCCTTGCCAAAGAGCCTGAAGAATTAATTAGGAAATAAAAACAAGGAACAAATTAATTGGAAGAGAACTAGCGAGGGAGCAAGTGAGCAATACTGCTTTAATCCAGGTTAAATTGGGGAGTGATTGCTTTGCTAACAGAAGAGATGATGAGGGAGAATTGGAGCAGGCAGGTGCCAGGTGAGACAATGGCAACAAGCATCCAGATGCCAAGGGATGCCCATGGAGAGCTGTGCTGAGTGGGGAGGAAAATTCTGGAGACACCAGCAGGAAGCTGGAAGAGGAATCTGGAAGAGAGGCTCAGAGCATCTTGGGGTCAGGGCCCAGAGTGTCCCAGGATCACCACTCAGACCATCCTCAGGGGCCCAGAGCTTGGAGCACCCCTAAGGAGAGGGCTCAGAACATTCTTAGGGTTGAGGCATGGAGCACCCCTGGGTCAGGGCTTGGAGCACGCCTGGGATTTGGGCTTGGAGCACCCATTGGAGCAGGGCTTAGAGCATCTCTGGAGTCAGGGCTTGGAACATCCCTTTCTTAAGTGACACTATCATTCATGCCTACTTTTGAGAATCCTATGGGATCAGGTACCAGTGCAGGGACAGGGACCCTGTCCTTGTGTGCCATGTTTCTTTGGGGTCTCCAAGCTGGTGGGAACCAGGCCTGCTTCTCTGTCTCTGAACAGATCCCTGGGTGCTCATGGTGGCATGACACTCCATTGTCACCTGGCAGCGACCCCACCCTAAATAAGGGGCCAAGGAGAGTGGCAGGGACAAGTGAGATCTGGTGGCCAAGTCCTCGTGGCCTGCAGCTGGAGTGGGGTCAGCTCAGAGTGACACAGCCAGGGCCAATGGATGTCACCTCCTCATCTTTTATCTAATCTGGCAGTAAATTCCTGTCCTCCATATGCTTGCACTGGGCTGGGATCTTCCTTATTGCTGCTGGGCCACCTGGAATAGTGGCGTGGCACTGCGTGTCCAGGGGCTGCTGTACCCCAGTACCCGCTGCTGTCCCGCAGGCACCTGCTGTCCCTTCTCCTGCTGCACACTCTCATTCTGGCACATAATTTCCCTAAAATCCATGTTCCCTCCAGAGACATCCTATTCCTCCAGGCAACCCCTGTCCTTGTGGACATGTGCTGTCCCTTGTCAAACACACTGTCCCTCTGCAAACATGCTGTTCCTTCAGGCCCCTGCTCTCCCTCAAGACACGTGCTGTCCCCAGGTGTGTCGTGTCCTTCCAGACACAGGGTGTCCCCCAGATGCATGCTGTGCTCATGGATGTCACCTGCACCTCTGGACATGTGCTGATGCCATGAATGCAGGTTGTCCCTATGGATACATGCTGTCACCCTGGAAGCAGGTTGTCCCTCTGGACACACGCTGTGCTTCTGGGTTCAGGCTGTCACCCACGGACACGTGCTGTCCTCCGGGATTCAGGCTGTTTCCATGGATACACTTATCCCTGTGGATGCATGCTGTCCCCACGGATACACGCTGTTCTGATGGATACACACTGTCCCTTTGGATACACGCTGTCCCTTTGGACACATGCTGTCCCACTGGATACACGCTGTCCCCCTGGATGCATGCTCTCACCATGGCATATGCTGATCCCTGGATGCAGGCTGTCCCTGTGGATATCCCTTCTCCCTCACCCCTCTGAGGGTACAGTGGGGGTGTGCTCTGTCCCTGCCCACACAGGATAATCTCCTGGGACAGGCTGTGTGCAGCTCAGGAGGTGAAATCCCACTAGCCAGGCTGAAAATGCTGGTGGCCACCATGCCCAGAACTTGTCCATGAGGACTGTCTGAGCCGGCTGGGAAAGCAGCCAAAGAATGGGGAGAGAGGTATGGGAACAGAGCCAAGAGCTGTCTCAGCCCCACAGGGACCTGACCACCACAGTGGGGCCAACAGGGCTCTGCCATCCCATTTGTGCCCCTAAATAGCCCTGTCGTGTATGTGGGCTGCTGGTGGCCCCCCAGCCCTGGCCGTGCTCTGAAATGTCTCCACAGAGACCCTCTAAGGGCTCCATCACTTACTCATCAGCAATATCACTTAATCAGCTGGGCCCTTCCTTATCCCTTTGTCAGCCCTCCTCAGAATCTGCTCAGTTGGAAGGAACCCACAAGGAGCATCAAGTCCAGCTCCTGGCCCTGCACAGCACCATCTCCAAGAGTCACATCACATGCCCAAAAGTAGTGTCCAAATGCTGCTAGAACTCTTCAGTCTTGGTACTGCTCTGGGGAGGCTGTTCCAGTGTCCAGTCACCCTCTGGGTGAAGAATCTTTTCCTAATATCCAACCTAAACCTCCCCTGACACAACTTCAGACCATTCCGTCGGGAGTGTCAGTGGTCACCAGAGAGCAGAGATCAGTGCTGGCCCCTCACAAGGAATTTGTAACTACAGTGAGGTCTGTCCTCAGTCTCCTCTTGTCCAGGCTGAACAGCCCAAGTGACCTCAGCTATTCCTCATACATATTCCTTCCCCTCGAGGCCTTTCACCACCCTCATGGTGAGTCTTTAGACTCTCTCTAGTGGCTTTAATATCTTTTTTATTTTGTGATGCCCAAAACTGCCCCCAGCACTCGAGGTGAGGCTGTCCCAGCAGAGCAGGACAATTCCCTCCCTTGCTCAGCTGGTGATGCTGGGCCTGGTGCCCCCCAGGACATGGGTGTGACTCATGTGACTCATGTTCACCTTACTGTTGTCCTGGAAAGTTCCCTTTCCATGACACTGCTTTCCAGCAAATCATTTCCCAGTCTGTATGCACATTGGGATTGCCCCATCCCAGATGCAGAATCCTTGTTGAACCTCACACACTTGGCAATTGTCCAACTCTCCAATTTGTCAGCAGCCCCTCCCAGTTTTTTATTGTCTGTGAACTTGCTTAGTCTGAACTTGCAGTCCTGTGTCCAAATAATTTATAAAGATGTTGAAGAGTGCAGGACTTCCTCGTCCCTTTCTCATCCCTTTGTTATCCCACTTTGAATTCAATGATAGCCCAAGCCCCAGAACTGATGCAACCAGGTCTCTGCAGCTAGCACCACTGGGGCCATCCCCACTGAGGGGCTGGTGCCCGGACACCCCCATCCCTGCCCAGCCTGAGATCATTCTGGGCTGTGGCTCCTGTGGTGGATCAAGGGATCCACCTGGACCCTGGATCCCACCCTGCCCATGCTGGTGTTGCTGGGATGACAGTGGGACACACACACACTCCCATGCACAACAGCTGCAGGCACAGCTCTTCCTTGCATCCACACATTCCCAACTCTCCTGCTGCTCCCAGAAGGTCCACGCAGTGAACCCACCTGATGCCATGGAGCCTCCTGGCACCCCCAGCCTGTGCCTGGCATTGCTCAGGTGAGGGATGTCACAGCATTCCCTGTCCCACAGCATTCTCTGCCCTGCCATATTGCCTGCCCCACTCGGGCACTGCAGCTGCATCCTGGGCACTGAGTGGGATTTATCCATGGGGAAACTACAGAGCAGTAAATGGGATATTGATTGGGTGCCATTGTGGGGATTAGTGCAGAGTGGAAGAGCAGAGGGATTGATTTCTGGTGGGATTTAGAGCTGTCAGTGTACCTCGGATTAGCAGCTCCAGGGTAATAATACCCAATTCATTCAGGGATCCAGCAGGTCCCTTAATGGCCATGTCCCCAAGCTCAGCTGAGTCTCAGTCATCTCTGTTCCATGGGCAGGACCCCAGTCCCATGTGCCACCTGCACTGGCCACTGTGTCCCCTCCTTCCCTGGAGGACAGGGATGCTCCAGAATGCCCACAGATGCTGCTCTGAGGGCAGGCTGCTGCAGTTGCTAGGGATGGAGAGAAATGGGATTTCAGGGTTACGCAGGGTGTGAAGGGTCATCTTGGTGCCTTAACCCCCCAAAATCTTCAACTTTGGGAGTTTGATACCATTTGCTGCCAGCACCTCCCAGGGAAAAGCTGGAGTGGGGTTTATCTCCGTGTCTTTGGTGTGGAATATTCCATTACCATGGAATAAAGGTTAATATTTACTTGCCTGCATGAACTTTATTCCCATTGATGCCATCAGACACCCTCCAGATGGGATGCAGCGTGGCTGCTCCCCAGGTTCCCAGGAAGAGACAGGAGGCACAGCACTCGATTGATCCACTCCAGGCCAGGAACAAGGGAAAACTACAGGACGGATGGAAATGTGGGAAGCCCACACTGCTGCCTCTCCTTGGCACCTACAGTTATTCCCCAGCAGCTCCAGGGCTGGGTTCTGAGGCTGTGTGTGTCCATCTGACTGCTGTGATGTTCTCATCCAAGGAATGCCACTCCTGGGGCACACAGAAAAGCCAGGGATCAGCTCATAATTACCCCGGGACTGACTGGGAGATGAGCAATGATGCATGGATGCAACGGTGGTACTGCAGTACAAGTCCCTGCACCCTTGCATCCCTGCACCTGTGTCCCATTCCCCTGTCCCCAGGTGCCCCTCTGTCCCTACACTGCCATGTCCCTGTGTCCCATGTCCCTGTGTCCCATTTCCCTGTGTCTCCCTGTCTGTCCCCAGGCCTTTGTGCCTATAACTTGTGTCCCACCACCTGCCCCCAGCCCCTCCCCCCTCATGTCCCTGCAGCTCCTGTGTCCCTGCACCTCTGTGTCCCACCCCGGTCCCCAGGAACCTCTGGGAGAGCATGAGGGACAGCTCCGTGCTGTGTCCTTGTTCCCAGCAATGGCTTTGTGTTCCCTGGGCAGCTGTGCTGGCTGTGAGTTGCTCCCTGAGTGGCTCTGGTGACAGGGCTGTGCCAGGTGGCAGGACATGGATCTGCTGGCACCCAGCTCCTTGGGATATTCCCACTGTTGGCCCCGCAGGGAACCTGCTATTCCTACCTGCTTTATTCATGGATCCCCGGACCTGCATCCGTGCCAGTGGGACCTGTCCAGGCTGGGGTGACACTTGGGACCTGCAGCAGGGTGAACCCAGAGCAGGAGTTCCACACCCTGATCCTGGGGGTCTGGCGGCTCTGGTAGTGTCCTGGTCGGAAAAAGGGGCACTGTGAGACGCTGCCTGAGGTATTCATGATCCTGTGCCACCCCGGGGAGAGACGCCCGTGGCTGTGTGTCACCCGCAGGGGCAGGAGCACCCGGAGGCCGGGGTGGCCGCGCAGGGTGTCCGGGAGCGGCCCTGGCCACTAGATGGCCCCGCGGCTCCGGCGGCCGCCCCGAACCTCCTGTGGGCTCCCGGGCCCGGCATCCCGGGGGTCGGCGTGCCGGGAGCCGGATGGAGCGTGTAGCATGCAGAATGTCCCTAAACCCTACCCTGCTTGGCACCTCGGGGTGGCATTTCCTTATCACGACCTGTCCTAACGAGGGTTGAGAGACGATGCGAGGAGCCCTTTACAAACGCCCAGCCAAGCCTCAGAGCACCCTGTCCCTGAAGAGCACCCTGAGGACAGGGACACAGAGGTGCAGGAGCACAGTAGTGCCTGGGTAGGGAGTGGGACACAGGACTGCAGGGACACGGGAACATGGAGGGACAAGGATACAGGGATGCAGGGACACGGGAGGGCCTGGGGACAGGGATACGGAGGCAGAGAAGGCCATCCGCCCTCAGACCAGAACTTTCTCTTCTGCCCAGAGGAGGAGGAGGTGGGGGAGGGATGGAGATTGTCGCGCTGCCGATATCGCTCTCACCGTGTGGCAGGTGGCCATCGTGTGACGGCCTGAGCATGCCGACCCTCCGTGCAGATTCCCTGGGGCCATCGGGGTAGGGGCAGCATCCCGAAATCCTTGTACTTATCTCGGGGCGAGGGACGGGAGGAGGTGTCACTCCTCACTGAAGGCAATGGGGGGGTTAATATAGGAGGGTGGGGGCGAACAGACCCTATAAGGGGGCCCAAGATGAGGGTCCCTCCCTATCCAAGAGAAGGATGCTGGGTAGGAACCCCTTCAGTATCCTATAGGATGGGGGGCAGGGAAGACTTTCTCTACCGAGCCCTGCATCAGAGTTACCCCAGGGCAAGGGATGGGATGAGATTTCGGCCCCTCCATCAGGGAGGATGAGGGGAAGGCCTCCCCAACCCAAACGTGAGGCGCAACCTTTAAGGGGGCAGGGGTCGCTTTGTTGAGAGGTGAAACATGCCGCAGAAGAGAGAAGGGGCAAGGGGGAAACTCCTGGCCCGATCCCCAAGAGGGGAGGGTTTAACCCGGAGGGAGATCGTTGCCCTCCCAGATGCCAGACCCGTGATGGCACACCCGGCACCTGGTGCCGCACAAGGAAAGCACTGCCAGCCCCGCGCTGCGGAGCGGAGCTACCCAAACTGGGCAGCGATGCCCTGATCCTCTCCCCACATGGGCGCCCCCGCCCCACTCCGGTTTCCTTCCCCCTTCACCACCCCACACTGGGACTCCCACTCCTGACCCCCTCCCAATACCGAGGAGTGACATCCCCACCCAATTCCCACATCGGCACCACCCTTTCGGCCCCCGCCCCACACCGAGGACCCCCCCCAACGTTGGAGAGTGATGTCCGATCCCTTGGCCACCCCCCACCCCCCACCCATCCTGGTTTCTTAGAGCCGCGCGGAGCCACTGCCCCGCAGAGCAGGTGCGGGGCGTGTCGCGATCGCACGTATCGTGACGGGGCGTGTCGCTGCGGGGGCGTGCCCGCAGCCCGCGGGCGGTGCGGGGGTGCGCGGGACCGGGATGGTGCCGGGATGGTGCCGAGATGGTGCCACGGCTCCTCATCGCGCTCCTTCGCTTTTTCAGCCGCGGGTTCCTGCGGGCGGGGGACGCCGCTCCCGGCCCCGAGGCGCTACAGGTAGGGACGTCGGGACCTCCACCCCGAGGGGTCCCCCGCACCTCCCTCCCACCCGGGACCCTCCTCTTCTCAACCCGGATTTCCATCCCCAACCTCATCCCCAACCGCATCCCCTCCCATTGGGGACCCCAATCCCAACTATTCCCCGTTCCACCTGGGACCATCAAGCCCCCCCGCC